TGTCTTCAGATTTACAAGCTATGGGTCTAGTTTGTTTATCAAATCTATCATTTTATTGTTTTTGTCTCAAACACTATTCCATCTCAATACAAAACAACCCATACACGCATCAAAGACACCAATGCCGGCCCATTATCTAATATGTGGATTATTAGTTGTTATGCATTGACTGTATGAAGACCCAGGGGGTAGCCCGTGGCACTTGTGTAAAGACCATGGGGGTAGCCCATAACACTTGGATATCAGACCATGGGGGTAGCCCATGGAATTCCAAGTAAAGACCATGGGGTATCCAAGATACTTGGATACCAGACCATAAGGGTATCTCATGACATTCCAGGTAAAGACCATGGGGGTAGCCTATGACAACTTTATGTATTTTGCATGATATTTTGTGGTTGTATGTTATGTGATATTTTGGGAACTCACTAAGCTCTTGCTTACGGTTTATTTGGGTGTTTTGAGGTACTTCCAATACTAAGGGGAATGACCCGGCTTGATGGCGCAACATTCACTCTCCAGCATATTCTGCTTTTATCTATTTTGATGCTCTGATATTTGATACGATATGATGTAATGGTTTTTTGGGAACGAATTATGATTGTATTTCTATTTCAAAAATGAATTTTATCTGGCTTTTGGGCTGTTGCACATTCCTTCAATCTCCAATCCTCTTTGACTTAGAAGTTGAAGGAGCGTAGGTGAGAAGGAGTCTTCGAGCATGAGATGACGATTCTAAGGAGATGAGAAAGACGAGGGCCAATATTTATGGCGGTGATTTTTAGCATTCCTTCAATCTTCGATCCTCTTTGATCTAGAGGTTGAAGGAGCGTAGGTGACAAAGAGTCTTCGGAGATGTTTCAAAGGTGGTGAGAAAGACGAGGGCCAATATGTATAGGGGTAGAGCAGATAAGCGGTGGATCGAATAGCAGTAGAGGCGGTGGTAATGCATGATCCAATTAAACCAATAAAGAGTACCCAACTCAGGTAAACTAACCTGATCAACAGTACCCAGGTCGGGTACTGTTCATAAAGATGTTCGGAATTTATTATATATAGAATAAATTACACGAGTGGTCCCTATGGTTTGGGGTAACATGCTCGTTTGGTCCCTAACTTTATTTTTTAACTCAGAAAGTCCCTATTGTTTGTTTTTGTTGCGTTGTTGGTCCCTACGTGACACAAAAAGACTATTTTTCCCTTACTGATTTCTTTTTTGATTTTTGTTATTTATTTATCATTTTTAAATAGAAATAAATTTAAAAAATAAGCCTCCTATCCCCAGCTACGGTAACCCATATATACTATATATCTCTTCTTTAACATAGCAACCCTAAATCACCAGGCCGTCGACCTCCATTACCGGCCCATCGTCGACCTCCTTTACCGGACCACCGTCACCCTCCTTTACCGGCCAACCGACGACCTTCGTCACTAGTTCATCGACGCCCTCACCACCGTCAACCATGGCTCGATTTCTACTTGATTTTTGCTCACCGGCTCACCCCACAAAATCTCGAAGCATACTGACAATGTTGCCGGAGAAGCGGAGGTGAAGTAGGCTCTCGAACCATACAAGACAAGACAAACTAGAGCCATTGGCATCTTTCTCTATCTCGAACCATGAAGTAGATTCTCGAACCGACCCTTTTTACCCTAGCCAGCGTCGGCATACACTCTACAGCCGACAACTGTCTTCATGCTCACCACCGTCGGCGATCATTCTTACCCATAGATCTCGAATGAAGGTTCATCCTCTCCATCTCAATGTCCATAGTTTTCCTCTTGAATCAATTTGATAGATCTGCAACACCGATTCTGAAGCAGGAAATCAAAAAAGTTGGGGATGTATCTCGGCAGTGGCGGATCCAGGTTAAAGCAAAGGGGTATCCAAAAAATAAAATCGTGTAATATACAATAAAAAAAACACAATTTCAATAAGAAAAAATGAGTAATTACATTTCTAGTCTTAACATTCTCAACTACAAATCAAAGTATCATTCATAAAATCTCACATGAGTCATACTCAAGTTGTTGTTGGTAAATACGATATGGATGACGACCTTAAGAGTCAAAAAAGATGTGTAATGCCCATTTCGATTTTCGGTATATCATTTTTTTATAGTTAAAAATAATATCAATAATATTAATAATTAAAATAAATCAATTTATTTAATATAAATAAGATTTATATGTCCAAGGGGGTATTGTGCTAATTCTATAAATAAGTTTGCTAAAGAATTTCGGTTTAAGGGTAGATTCCGTCACAATGGACATCTTCAAGGACTAAAGATGACATTTTTGGAAACTGCTTTGTTTTGTCTTCTCTAAACAGCAAGCAGCGACGCAGGTTCTTTCTCTTGGCCGCCATAGCTAGGGCTTGAGAAGAAAGCTGTTCTAACACTCGATCTAAACCATCTCGCAGGTATTACACTATTGGAAAATTTTTGAGGGGTATCCCGGGCTACCCCGGGCTCTACATTGGATCCGCCTGTGTATCTCGGGTTTCCTCCTTTAGATCGTATTTAGAACCAAGACAACATCAATTTTTATCGATTTTGTAATGGTAGCCAGATTTGTTTTTTTGTTTTTGTTGTTTTTTTTTTGGGGTTTTTATGTATAGTTTGTTAGGGGAAATAACACCAAATTCAGGTTCTGATATGTGCCTAAATCAAATTTCAGAATATGATAGGATAAAATAGATTTGGGTTTTAGATTGATTTATGGGAGAGAAAACATGAGCAAATATGAGACTTCTAGATTTTATCAGGTTCAATTTTTTTTAGGAGAAAAGAGGAGATTGGTTGCCGACAGTGGTTGCCGACAAGGGTTGACGGCCGGCGGTGAAGGACTGGTTCGGTGGTAATTGTGAAGGTGACGTTGGTGGATGGTGGTGATGATGTTATGGGTAATAAAATAATCTGTTAAATAATTTTTTAAATAAATTAGTTATATAAATCATTATATAATAAATAGAATTAATTAAAAAAACCATTAATGGTAAAATAGTCTTTTTACACCGGACAGGGACTAACTACGCAATAAAAGCATACATTAGGGACTCTACGAGTTAGAAAAATAAGTTAGAGACCAAACACGTTATTTATACTAAACCACAAAGACCATTCATGTAATTTACTCTTATATATAATAAATTTAAAATTCAAACACGTTAGTTTAAAAAAAATAAAAAATTTGTGCATAAATTTAGAAAGGGATAATGACTTAAAAGGGTAATTTATTTTTCGATTTGTACACATTTAGTCACTGGGTTTTTTTTTCGTCCACATTTACCCCTTCAACTTGTTAAACTGTACACATTTAGTCCTTATGACCAGCTAGTCCAGGTTAGCCGGTAAAAATGACTTAATAGGGTAATATATTTCTCACTTTGTACACATTTAGTCCTTAATATTTTTGTACACATTTAGTCCTTAATATATTTTTTTTGTTGCAAAATAAGTCATTTTTGTTTTTGTATTCATGCAGTACTTATGAACGATTTTTTTAGGTTTTTCTCACGACATCTTATGTGGGATAGCCATATGGTGGTGGGATAGGTTGAGGTGGTCGGGTATTTTGGGGAAACTCACTAAACTTTATGCTTACCTAGTTATTTATGTTTTCAGGTTCTATCGGTGGTCGTGGGAAGGAGAATGCATGACTGTACACACTCATCAACAATATTAAGGATTCTGCGTTTCTTATATTACTTTGATTTTCGATAAATGTATTTTTGAATAAACGTTTTTTGTTAATAATGGATTTATAATTAGGAAGTTTTTCCTTATTTAAAAATGAAAATTTTTTGTTGTGAAAATGAGACATTACACATAAACATCAACAGCCCCACACACTTCATCAATGATTGTCCCACGTAAGATGTCTTGAGAAAACCCTAATGAAAACATTCATAAGTACTGAATGTGTACAAAAACAAAAATGACTTATTTTGAAACAAAAAAATATTAAGGACTAAATGTGTACAAAAATATTAAGGACTAAATGTGTACAAAGTTAGAAATATATTACCCTAATAAGTCATTTTTCCCGGCTAACCTGGAGTAACCGGTCATAAGGACTGAATGTGTACATTTTAACAAGTTGAAGGGGTAAATGTGGACGAAAAAAAAAATTCAGTGACTAAATGTGTACAAATCAAAAAATATATTACCCTTTTAAGTCATTATACCATTTAGAAATTACGATATTTAACTAGGCATTAACGAAAAAGTGTATGATAACATGAACGGATAATGGGGAAGGGAATATTTTCAAATGTATCATCTGTAATGTTATAATTACTTGCTACCGTCTCCATTTTCTCTCTCTCTCTCTCTCTCTCCAAACTCCAAAGTCCAAGCCTTCAACTGAGATCTAGGCGCTGCACTCAACTATCCTTCTCAAATGGACCAGGGGCGGACCTCAAGTCCCGTTTACCCACGCAAATGGAGCAGCGAATCTAGCGCCACCCCCACTACCACCGCCGTTTCTTCATCTCCGGTCATGTCTCCGGGACGTTATCACCATTCCCGTTCATCCTCCACTACTGGCATTTCGAACATTAAGCGCAATCAAAACGTCGCCGCCAAAGCTGCAGCTCAACGTCTCGCCCAGGTCATGGCTTCTCAGGCTACTGACATTGACGCCGACGACGACGACGATGACGATGATCTTGACTTCCGATTTGCTCCCCCCTCTATAAACAGGAGGCCTCCCGTTAATGCTAACAAAGTTACAACTGCCAAAGCTGCTGCTACTGCTACCAGGCCTTCCATTCCATCTGCTACTAGCAATAATAAGATCACCGGATCCCCTTCACCTTCGGTAATTCTACATTAATTTTATGTTTTGACTTCAATTTGACTTGTGTTGTCGTAGAGTTATCGACTACATTTTTATATTACACCGTTTAGGAATATTATGGTGCAGTTGTTCTTGATATAGTGTGAAAATGGACTCGATTAGAGAGCTTTAACAATCTATGCTCTAAACATAAAGCAAAGCTGTGGAATGGAAAACAAACGATGGGATCTGAAAGTTAATAATGACTGACGGGTGTTTATCTTGGTCAGATTCTTTCACATGATGGAAATTAGAATCTTATCCTCATAATGTTGGAAATGACACGCAAAGGAACCATGCTTACTTGTCAATCTTGCGTTGGACCAGATGACAGCAGAAATAGGTGGACACAATCTAGAAGCATAGGATGTAGCTTCCTTTCAAAAGTCTCTAACTTCTTTTTAGTTGGAAGAAAAGTGCCTTGTGCATTGTAACATATGCAAAATCTGAGAATGAAATGATTGTGTGTCCACCCACGGTTATGTAGATTATAGAGGAGTTAAATCCTATGTTGTTGACCAAATAAATACAAGAGAAGCTTGAGTCCCTTGTAAAGAAATATATCTGCCATGTAGGAAGAGGGGGTAAAGCTTACATATTTTACTGCATGGTACACAAAACTCTTTTATTTTGTAGATTTTACCATCTGGTGATTGGTTACCAGAACTTTTTGTTAGCGCAGTTGGTTTGAGAGATTCCTTTACATAATATTAAGTACTAGTATTATGCATGTGGGAGAACTGATTCACATCTTGCATGCTATCCTTTTCCACTTACAAGTGCGTACTTAATTTTGTGCGGAGGCAGACACATATAGAAAAGAGTGAAAGTCATGTTCATTCAACAACTACATAGACATCCGTGGCATGTGGCAACTAAAAAGAGATGGTAAACTGTACCAATAACATGACAGACCCACGGGCAGTGTCGGTGTGCCCAGATTTGAATCAAGACTTCCATTATAGAATTGCACTCCCTAACCGTCAACTATAGTTAGGATGCTACTTTTTTATAACCAAATGGATTAAAATTCCTTTGAGTTGATCGATTTGGTTGTGTGTTTCTCCTGTCCTAAGAAGATGGAAAAGCAAAAATTAAGTGTATGTGTATCCATGGTTCTAAAAATCAGTTGAGGTGTACGCCTGCCTCAAGGCGAAAGTGCCTATATATATCTGTGAACAATGTGACCCTCAATCGTGAACCATAATATTTTGGACCTGGAGGTCTAGAAGAGAGTCTAAAGCACCATTACATGCCTTGGCCATGGCTGCAAGTTGTGATGTATGCGAGTTCACATAGAACAATGCATGAGGAGCCTCTAGTGAACCATACATATATTTTGGACGAGTTTAATAGATGTTCTTCGGTAAATTAATGCATGCTGTCTACCTATTTTTTGACCAAGTCACACCATCCATGACTTGGAGAGGAAGATAAACTCATTGAAGCGTGATGGCTGGCTGCTAATGACTAGGTAAAAAATCATGGGTTGAAAGTTTCTCAACTGAAAACTCTAATCCAGGTACGGTTTTGTTGATACCTTTTTACATGTATAAATATATCATCATATTGGTGACCGTTGATTTCAGCTGCTGCATTACGTTTCTGATCCTCAGTTTTTTTTTTTTTTTTTTTTTTTTTTTTTTTTTTTTTTTTT